CTTGTGAAATCTTTTAATCATTGGTGGTTTTGGGGAATACCTTGGAGATAACAGTGTTTGGATATGAGGAGGAAACAATATCGAAGAACCGTTGTACCGAACTTGTGGGACACAAAATAGCTCGCTTAAATCATAAATCCTTCTTTTATTTAAATCATCAGCCGCTCGTATATTTTCCCCTCCGACCGACCTCAACAAAAGGTAATTTTGCACTACTCTCTTTGTTAGGTACTCGTAAGTCGTAAGTCCTTCTTTTATTTAAATCACCATCCGCACGTACATTTTCCTCTCCGACCGATCTCAACAAAACGTAATTTTGCACCACTCTCTTTGTCAGCTACTCCGATTTTAAATGTTAATAGAAAAAGGATAACACTAATGCGATTCTAAAAGAGTCACATCCGGTTTAATTGAGTGTCACGACATTTCCGGTCACTTTCTGGTCACCGCCAGAAACAGGTCTTGTATGGCCGCTGACAAACTGAATTAATCCAAGTTAATAATTTCTGAACGAAAGCATCGACCTGTTTACTCGTACAAATTTTCTGTAACAGCCTGTCAGCTGACCGACCTGGTGGAAACAGTTTTCTCTAAGGGATTAGCACTTGGCCTTATCAGCAGGTTGTGGACTAGGGATTTGTAGAGAGATATTCTGTCAGGCGAATTTATTTAATTACAGTCTTTACACATCCATTTCCTCGCAGGCACTGAGGGAGGTTCGAATCTAGAAAGCTAGTTTCGAAATTTTTCAAGTTGAGCAGCCTATCGGTAAGGTCAGCCCCTGGGTAAAAGTCCTCATCTATTCGGAGACTTGAGCTTCTGTCGGTTGGAAAGAAGGTGATTGGATAAACGTCACGCCATGGAACAGTCAATATGAACGTACAACACATTTTCAAGGTGGTTTGTCCAAAGCGTCAGCGTCATTCAGAAGCCGTTACTATTCACACGCTCTGTAGAAAGTATCACATTCATCTTAAGCCTGAACGGAGAAAGACAAATAATTCATTAGGAGGATGGTTACCGCTCCAGGCAGGCTTGTCAGGACGAATGCACGCTTCACCTACATATTTCTGCGACCTTGGATTTCTACTGGGGACCACATACAGTTGACCTTTTTTTCAACCTTTCGGTCAGGAGATTTCGGGCACGTCTGGTCCGGAGAGAACAACTGGATTTCTCTCCCCTTACCTACTAAAACACATGAAGCTCGGTATGAAGAAAGGAACTGTGGTCGTCGCGTTGTAGACTTCACCTCTTTGATTACCCCTACAGCTTGCAAGGATACGTATGTTCCTTCCGGCAGTAACAAGGTCTTCTCCAGCGCCAGGTTTCTAGAGCTCTCCATATGTAAGCAGGGACAGCTACGTTATTAGATTCCCAGCAATTAGTTTGCGAACTGATCCCTGTAGACTTGCATTTGTGTGGATATTCTCTATCCTCACTAAAAATTCTTAGGCTCTAGTTTTTTTGGGCTGTTGCATTGTCGAGGGGCAGACAAATGCCACTTAGTATGTTTGAAGTGTTATTTTGCGTCTGAGTTTTGTTTATAACCGAATTTTTAGTTAGGCAAGCGAGCTCGAACAAATTGTTTCCTTGGCAAAGCGATTGCAAGAGCCATAGCGCTTTCGAAAACTACCCGCTATTATTTGGAACACATAATAGATTCTACATGAGCCAATCAGGTTTAAAAGAGCCCGGGCAAGCCAAATCAAGCCTATTGTGCCTATTGGATAAGAGAGACGCTCACTAGTAAACCTTTTCACTTCATTATATATGGAGGAAGGCACTTAATTAGTATGCACGAAGACCATCATTAGTATGGAGGAAGACACTTATGCATATTAATCAAAGGAAGATAAGGGAAGACACCAAAGAGGCCCAAAATGCTGAAGCATGACTACTAAGAATGCAGATGGCGTTTCATGACTATACTGGATGACTTGTATTATAAATGTGCGCAGCTCGTGCTTGTGATTATGCTAATTTCAATCACCATCACGCCTGTCGTTAGTTCTGACAAAACATCTCATATGTCTTTTTTCTTTGGAACTTCATAATTTGTTGCCCTCGGCTCAGTTTTTGTATACTTTTTATGTATACTTTGTTGTGTTTCAGTCAACGTTCCACAAATTTTGTTTACATGTGGTTGCCGAATTTGCGACGCATTACGCGAATCGCCATGGTGTGTTGCACGCGAGGTACACTGTAGTGCAACGCCACTATATCCAAGTATATCCAGCTAATTTTTTATTAAGTTATGTAAAATTTCTCACTCTTTAACATATACAAAAGTTACGGTTGAGTAGTGTTAAGCTTTTGCAAACGAAACGGCGAAAGGTTAATTGTCCCAAAAAATGCAATATTTGGCCTTAACTCCACAACACCCCCTCCCCCCCGCCTCCCCGATGCCCAGTGTAGGTTTTTTTTTTTTTTTTAAGTCAAACCAATGCTACAGTGAATAGTTTCCTCTGAAGTACTAACTACACAAAAAGTACGAGGGAAGGTTTTGTATGACCATCTCCAGTTTTGCTCAGTCCTTACCGACATTCGTTCTTAAAATGTCAGCTTAGGCGAAAAAAAAATGACAGCATGGGAACGAGACTGCTCGATGGTTTATTGCCCATGTAATATCCTTTCGTTTTATCATTGACATCAGCCTCGTTTCCAAGTCAATATACCATCGAATCGACGGTATATTGCTCGCATCTTTCAAAACTGGTTAACGCCCATTGGTTGAGCGGGGGCTTTAAGCCAATCAGAACGGGTAAAATATTTTGAAAGAATAATAGAAAAGTAACAAGGCGCTTCAAAGCAATGGGCAACGGTTAGGTGTTAAGCTAAAACGTAGTGTTCTGTTATTGTTCCATTTACTCAGATTTTTACGAGGATTGTGAACAAAGTTTTCCGGTTTATGTCGGTGTCCGGGATAAGCCACTCCATAAAACAATAGAGGTTGGTGTTTTCCATATAGAATTGTATATAACTAAAACAAAAAATCAGTAACTTTCAGTACCAATGCGTGTAAATGGGGTGTCAGCTTCTCGATGCGAGTAGCAGTAATCTAGACCACGGTGCTTATTAGTAC